CCGGGCTGGGGATTCGAACCCGCCACCTTAGGTGTACGTGGCTGGCGCCTTAGCCGCTTGAGCCACAGGCGCCGAGCCGATTGGTTGGATGTTTGAATGGATAGATAAACATATAGTTGGATGGATGTTTGGAGAGACTGATGATGAAATGGCTGTGTAGATGGATAAAGAGTTGGAAGAAAGGATCGTTGAGCAAACAGATTGGTTGATGAGTGTTTAGACGGTTGGATGTTTGAATGATGGATGGTTGGATGGACTTTTGGTTGTTTGGATGTACAGAGGGACTGATGGACGTTGAGATGGACAAGTGGAGAGATGGAGGCATGAATGGATGGGACAGTGGGCCATATATAGGTTAAGTGTATAGGCTTGGGAGCTACCCCAACTGGATTTTGATCCTGGTTCTGATATTTCCACAGTGCCTTCACTCATGTGGGGATTGACATGAGGAGCTACATCCCCTGAGGATCCCACCTTGAAGTTGATTATGAAGCTGGGGCAGAGAGGGTGGGGGAGTCAGATGTGAGTCCAAGGGCAGGTGTAGGGGATCAACACCTCAGCCCAGCTTCCACTACCTGTTGCCTGCTGTGTGACTTTGGGCAATTTGGTGGTTTTGTTTTTGGCTTCTTTCCTCATCTATTACAGAGGAATGATAATAATATCTCCTGGCATGGTCGTGAGGAGTGGGTGACCCCTCTTAAATCAGTACCTGGGGTATAACTACGTTCAAGCTTATGAGAGGATGGATGGACAGATGACTGGATGGGTGAAGGGACAACACATGATTGAACCAGGAAAGGAGCTGGAGAGGGGGAATGGAGACACACACATCTGTGAGACAGCCGCAGGCATTTTATTAGGGGCTTAGAAGGGACTCCTAGGAAATCCTTCTGTTTCCTGATAGTTATGGCCCTGGGAATAGATCAGATCTGGACATAGGACAAGGTGACATCACCCTGGATTTCCACCATATCCACCCTCTGGAAGGCAGAGAGGCGATGGGAAAAGTCAAAGAGATGTTGGCCATTGACATAAACCTTGAAGCGATCTACGCCACAGCGAATGGACAGCTGCAGGGAGAGGGGCAGGCGTGAGGCCAGAGCAGGACCCAGGCTCCACGGAGAGGTGGGGAAAGAGCCCATACTCACGTCAAAGAACTGTCCAGGGCCAAATGGGTTGCTGGGGATCTTCCTCTCCTCGGAGCCCCACGAGCCATTCAGAAAGCTGTTCCGAACCACGGCACCCTCACCCATGCGGGGATTGATGTGCAGGGCTATGTCCCCTGAGGATCCCACCTTGAAGTTGATTGTGAAGCTGGGCGCAGAGAGGGTAGGGGAGTCAGAAGGGAGTAGGAGTCCAGGGGCAGGTGTGGGGGATTGACACCTCAGCCCAGCTTCCACCACCTGTTGCCTGTTGGGGGCACGTAGCCCTTAATGATGATGGTTCTCCGGGCTGTGAGTCCCCCTTGCAGCCTCCCATTAAATGGCACAGGCTGTGGGAAGAGAACAGTGGGTCCCATCCTCTCTCAGGTTAGCAGAAGCCAGATGCAGGAGCAAATTTTCAGAGAAGGCCCCCCTCCTCCTGGGAAATGTCCCCAACCTTGTCCCCTCCCAACCCCTGGCCACCCAGTCCACTCTCTCCCCAATTCCCACCCCAGATACCATCAGCCCACTGTAGAGCTGACACTCTCAGAATCCCTTCCCCACAGGTCCCTGCTTTCCTTCAAGGTCCCCATCCCTGCAGGACATCATACCGGGTTGAAGGTTGGAGGTCCCTCCATGGTCTGTGAAGTGAGGAAGAAGTGATATTAATTAATACTAGTTGACATGTTTCTCTGGGGGTGGGTTCATTGTAGTGGGGCTTCAATCCCTCCCACCTCTTCCTGCCCCAGTTCTCTCCCCTAGGTAGCCCCCAGCCCTCCCACTCACTGGCAGGCTGTTCAGCTGTTGATGGCAATGTCCAGGCCCCTGCATGAGGGACGGAAGGCAGGAAAGGTGAGGGGGCTGAGGGACTTTACCTTAGGGGAAAACTGTCACCCATCGGCAGGTACTCACAGGGAAAGGCGGGTTATGCATGGGTCTCTATGGACACAGAGAGAGACAGAGGTGATGAGTGGGACCCCAAATTCAAGACTGGCAGGTGTAGAGTGCCTGCCCTGGGCCAGCCTGCTACCAGCATGCAGGGAAACTCAGGTGTCAAAGGGCAGCACTCAGAGGGACTGGACATGTTTAGTGGTCACCAATGCCCAGTGAACCTCACCCCAACACTTTAAGACAACCCTGGTCAATTCTGTCCTCCAGATCTACCCCTGTGCTATCTTCTGTGATCCCTCAGCCTTGCTGTACCCCTGTGTGACTCAGCCCCTACCACAGTTGCCCCTCACTCTACGAGGCCACATTTTGCAACCCGTCTCTGCCCATCCCCCTCAGGCGCAGTCTCTCCAGTGTCTGCCTCAGGTACTCTCCGTCTCTCTGCCTCACCTGGGCACAGGCGATTCCTCTGCCTGGAACACATTTTGCCTCCCTTGTTAACTTTAACTCTCTCTGTTTTCTCCTCTTTCTTTTCTTTTCTTTTTTTGAGACAGAGTCTCACTTGTCACCCTTGGTAGGGTGCCCTAGTGTCACAACTTACAACAACCTCAAACGCTTGGACTCAAGTGATTCTTTCATCTCAGCTTCCCGAGTAGCTGGTACTACAGGCACCCTCCACATTGTCTGGCTATTTTAAGAGACGAGGTCTTGCTCTTGCTCAGGCTGGTCTCAAACCTGTGAGCTCAGGCAATCCACCCACCTCGGCCTCCCAGAGTGCTAGGATTTCAGGTGTGAGCCACCACACCTGGCCTCTCTCCTCTTTCTAACTAATTCCTTTCTGCCTTGACTTCTACTTTTTTTTTTTTTTTGAGACAGTTTCACTATATCCCCCTCAGTAGAGTGCTGTTGTGTCCCAGCTCACAGCAACCTCAAACTCTTGGGCTCAAGCGATTCTCTTGCCTCAACCTCCTAAGTAACTGGGACTATAGGCGCCTGCCACAACACCTGGCTATTTTTTGCTGCAGTTGTCATTGTTGTTTAGCTGGCCTGGGCTGGGTTTGAACCCACCAACTTTGTATATGTGACTGGTGCCATAACCACAGTGCTATGGGCACTAAGCCTTGACTTCTACTTTTAGAAGTCCCTTTAAAAATAGTTTTATTGTTCTTTTTTTTAGAGACAGTTTCACTTTGTCACCCTCAGTGGAGTACCATGGCATCAAGCTCACAGCAATCTTAAACTGTTAGGCTCAAGTGATCCTCTTGCCTCAGCCTCCTTAGTAGCTGGGACTACAGGCACTTGTCACAATGTCTGGTTATTTTTTGTTGCAGTTGTCATTGTTTAGCTGGCCCGGGCTGGGCTTGAACCTACCAACTTGTGCTAACACCCTACTCACTGAACTACGGGCGCCGAGCCGAGTCTAGGAGTTTGAGGTTGCTATGAGCTATGATGACACCATGGCACTCTACCCAGGGCAACAGAGGGAGACTATGTCTCAAACAAAACAAAACAAAACAAATTACAGTGATTTCCCTGGGTGACTAAGAGTGTTAAGCCACCTCTCAGGAATTTGTTCACTATTCACATACTCTTTACTCCACCTGTCCTCACTTCCTGACTCAGTTTGTACACCTTGTCCTCCCGGAAGCCCTCCCTGACCTCCTGACTAGGTCAAGTCCTTCCTTTAGACTCCCCCAAATCTCCTGGATATCCCCCATCCTATCCAAACACCATGCTTATCACACTCAAGGCTATCACTGTCTACTGATGGGTCTGTCTTCCCAGTAGACTGTCCTGGTCACCACTGGGCCCCTGGTCACTCAGCAGAGGGACTGGCACAGAGGAGGTACTTAGGAAATAAAGGAACATGGTACTGGAATTAAAAAGAAAGGAAGCAAGTGAGAAGGGGGACAAACATCACACACCTGGTTGGGGGGTGGCTGGCCTCCAATGAAGTTGATCGACTGCAGCTGCAGGTCCCCATCCACCTGCAGGTGGGTGACCATCTGCAGGGGCAGCCGGTGCCCGTACTCATAGAAGGGAGCTCCATTCACCACCACCTGGAGGGCAGGGAGGAGAGGTCAGGACTCAGCAGGAAGCAGGGGACAGAGATCTTTCCGACTTGGGGGGTCAAAGTCATGGGAGTGAGCTGGGACAGCCCCTGGTCTCTACTGAAAATAGGGAAAACTGGCTGGGCATTGTGTCAGGTGCTTGTAGTCCCAGCTACTCAGGAAGGTGAGGCATGAAGATCACATGAGCCCAAGAGTTTGTGGTTGCTGTGAGCTAGGACTACTCAGGATGACAGAGTAAGACTCTGTCTCTGGAGGTGCCTATGGCTCAGTATGTAGGGCGCTGGCCCCATATACTGAGGGTGGTGGGTACGAACATGGCCTCGGCCAAACTGCAACAAAAAAATAGCCGGGCATTGTGGCAGGCTATTGGGAGGCTAAGGCAAGAGAAGTGAATCACCTAAGCCCAGGAGTTGAAGGTTGCTGTGAGCTGTGACAACACAGCACTCTACTGAAGGCAATAAAGTGAAACTGTCTCTGAAAAAAAAAGAAAAAAATCAGCTCACAGATTAGGAGATGGGAGAGAATAGAAAATTTAGTCTGGGCTTAGAGCCTGTAGCTCAGCGGCTAGGGCAGCAGCCACATACACTGTTGGGTTCGAACCTATCCCAGGCCTGCCAAATAACAATGACAATTACAACAAAAAAATAGCGAGGCATTGTGGTGGGTGCCTGTAGTCCCAGCTACAAGGGAAGTTGAGATAAGAGAATTGCTTAAGCCCAAGAGTTTGAGGTTGCTGTGAGCTGTGACACCACAGCAGTCCACCCAGGACGACATAGTGAGACTCTGTCTCAAAAAAAAAAAAAGTCAACTCAGTTTGGCGGATGGGAGAGAATAGAAAGGGACACATCAGAGAATCCTGCTCAGCTATCGGAAGCCACACTGTGCCCCAAGCAGCACACACACAATGAGTGAGAAGAGAAACAGAAGGTGACACACAGCGTGTGTGTACACTTGCAGTAAAGGCACAAAGACCGATCCAGGCAGAGAGAACCTGGGATCGAGAGCCCCCAGGAAGAGGGGACGGGGAGCATACCAGGGGCTTGGGGGCTAGAAGTGATCTTTGTCTGGGCCAAGGTGCTAGATGCAGGGGTTTGAGGGGTGCAATCCTCTCACATTGAAAAACCAATGATCTGGGTCCCTGTGGCACACGGTTTTCTCTACCTGGTTACACTTCAACAAAATATCAAAAAATACTTGCTTAGTACCAGTTAGTCACCACGTGGGGCCTCACTGGGACCCCTATTCAAACAAACTGTAGAAAACAACAAACACTGTGACATTTAGGAGATAACTGGAACAGGACAGGACACATCATGACATCGACAAAGAACCTGTTCATTTGTAGGTGTGAAAATGGCATTGTGACCACGTTTTTTTAGAAACAGAAATAGTTATAAATGAAATTATGGGATGTCTGGGTTTTGCTTTGAAATTATATTGGGAGGGGAAGTGTGAAGTAGAGATGAAAGGGGAGGGACCTTGGGGTGACAACTATTGGATGGTGCCATGACATGGGCTCATTGAGCTTGTTGGGCACTTGTTGTTGGCGAGCCACTGTGCCTGGCCTAATTTATTTATTTTTTTAATCTATCTCCCCTACTAGCATGTTGGCTCACTGCTCCATCCCCAGTGTTAGGCACAGAGCGGATGCCCAACAAAAAATAATCAATGAATAAAGAAACAACAATTCTTTGAGGTCAGTTCAGTTATAATCATCATGGCCCTAGAAAAACAACACATCCTTTTGTGTGTGTTGCGAGTTCTCTATGAGAAATTGCAAAAGTACACATTTTTCAAGGACACAGAGAAACAAGATGATACACATGAAACATAAGAACAACATTCCCTGGGAGTGGAATGGGAATGAGGAGAAGAGATGAAAGAGGATTTTTTTTTTTTGAGACAGAGTCTCACTATGTCGCCCTGGGTGGAGTGCTGTGCTGTCACAGCTCACAGCAACCTCAAACTCTTGGGCTTAAGCGATTCTCTTGCCTCAGCCTCCCGAGTAGCTGCCACCCCTTTGCTAGCGCCACAACGCCCGGCTATTTTTTGGTTTCAGTCACTGTTGCTTAGCAGGCCTGGGCGGGGACTCAAACCTGCCAGCCTCAGTGTATGTGCTGGTGCCCTACTCACTGAGCTATGGGCACCGAGCCAAAAAGAGGATTTTTTTTTTTAATTGTCAGGAAAGGAGGAAAAGAAAAAAATGTACAGTAGGGAAAAGGGAAGAAAAAGGGAGAGAAGAGAGAAAAGGAATGGAGAAAAAAAGATAGAAGGAAGGAAGAAGGGAGGGTAGGAAGGCAGGGAGGCCGCCTGGGCCCAGACCTTGTAGTGCTCAGCCATGACCATGATCACCAGCTCGAAGGCGGCGCCCTTGTGGAAGGGCATGCTCCTTTTCCTCTCCTCGCTGCCCCACTTGCCGCCCTGCATCGTGTTGAAGACCACCTTGTCCCAGCCATCAAAGCGAGGATTGAAGTGGAAGGCGATGTCTGCCCCTGGGTCCTGCCCCACCAGGAAGTTCACGAAGAACCTGGAGGGACATGTAGTGCTCGTTCCCCTGTGTCCCCTCCGGAAGCCCTCTCCCACTCACCTCGTCCCAGGGCCCCTTGACCTGGACCTCAGCACCAGCTCTGTGGGGTAACCCTGGCACTGCTGACCCCAGTCAAGAGGGGAGGTCACGCCCCTGAGTTCCAGAGGCAGACCCCCACTGCCACGCCTTTGCTAGCACCTTTCCTTCTCAGATCACCTCCTCCCAACCTGTCCCCAGCTGCTAATGACAACTGATCCACGTCTACCATGGGCTAGGCTTTGTCCTGGGTACTTGGCTCCCTTCCTGGTCCCCAAAGGCCACGCCGCTCGTGTGGCAGGAAGGCCCCTGTGAACACTGGGGTCAGAGCATACTTTGCACATTGTGTCACACCAACTTCCTTGAAGTTGTCCAGGGGGCTGGCACAGGGCTGTCTCAGGGCCTCTGCACTGGCTGTTCCTCCTGCCTGGAGAGCCCTTCCCTCAGCTAGCTCCAAGACTCTCTCCTTTACCTCTCTCAGATCTTTTCTGAAATGTTTTCTTCCCAGGGAGGCCTTCTCTGGCCACCCTATTTAAGGGGACAGTGCTACACTTGTCCCTACATACACTCCCCTTCTCCCTACCTTTCTCTTTTTCTCCATAATGCTTATCATCATCAGACGTGTTATATATTTAACTTCTTTATTTCTTTATTTTTTATTTTTTTGAGACAGAGTCTCACTCTGTCACTTTGGGTTGACTGTCATGCCGTCATACCTCACAGCAACCTTAAACTCTTGGGCTCGGGCTATCCTCTTGCCTCAGCCTCCGAAGTACCTGGAACTAAAGGCACCCACCACAACACCTGGCTAGTTTTTCTATTTTTGGTAGAGATGGGGGGGGGTCTTGCTCTTGCTCAGATTGGTCTTGAACTCCTGAGCTAAAGCAATCCACTGTCCTGGGCCGCCCAGAGTGCTGGGATTACAGGTGCGAGCCACTGTGCCTGGCCTAATTTATTTATTTTTTAATCTATCTCCCCTACTAGCATGTTGGCTCACTGCTCCATCCCCAGTGTTAGGCACAGAGCAGATGCTCAATAAAAAATAATCAATGCATAAAGAAACAACAATTCTTTTTTTTTTTTTTTTTTT